ATTTAAGCTACTTCTTAATGCAATACTATGTTGTGGTGTTGAGTTATTAACGTACAAAGATAAAATACTTAATTAGGTGGCCGCTTCGCTTACCCGGCCGCTTCGCTTGCCGCTCACGTTATTGCAAGATTGAATGGACCCTTTTCCCCTAAATAGTCGCATCCCAATATAGGAAAGCACAAGAGGAAAGAGCAACCAGTCGCTTATTCATCACCGCGCTCGACTCACCCTCGCCTCAGTCTTGTCTTCTCAGTCTTGCCTTTCCCTCATCCTCACGATACAAGATGACAGACAACAAAAGCTCAGTTGCAACACCTCAACTGCTCTACGAATGGTGCAACAAGGTGATGCAAAAACTGCGTCCGTCTTTCCTCAAGAACCACGAACGCCATCGCCTATTATTTCACTACCCCAGTGTGGATGCACTTCTCTATGGCACACTTCAACAACGATGCCATGTCTGTTCGATCCTCGCTTGTTGGTGAGACGAGAACATCGCAGACCCCGAACTACTAGTATGACAGAGCCGATAGGTAGCGACACGTTGTGGGATCATTGCTTGGTTGTGTCACCATTGGAGGGATCACAGAATCGATTTAGAAGAACTGACACTTATACAGAAAGCTTGGATGTTGCTCAAGCCACCAAGGACGCAGCAGATAAAATCCTGGACTCGATGCGCACTCACATCTTCACAGGCCCGCTGGTCATGTAAGAGATTGAGGCTTTTTGAGCGAAGGAAGAAATCGGCTTTGAGGGCGGGTCAATGCCCGGCAAAGCGCCAGCAAAGTTATGGATAAATCCTTTGTTCAAGCCATGTCCAGCTCGATGAGGCAGTCAAGACTCTGTGGATGTCGCCAAATTCCTGTCATCTTCAAGCCCGCACCCTCGTACATTTTGCGATGCTCCTCCTCGGTCCGGTGACGCGCTCCAAGAACGGCCATGAGCTCCCAGTCAAGAGACGCTACCTTTGGTTAGAACAGAGACCGCATGGGATGAGTACCTGAACGACTTACTCTGCGCCCAATGCGCGCCCTGGCTCGGAACGACATAGTCATTGATAAGAACCTTGGAATAGCCTTTCTTCATTGCGGGGACAATGGCTTTCAAGATATCCGTGTTGACCTGATCATTCCAGTCTTGGATAATGGAATGCAGATAATATGCACGGGCGCCTTTGATCGGCTGCTCAGTCATGAAATCGTGACCCATCTTGTCGGCACCTGGACCGAGCTTCGCGAGCTGGACGATCTCGGGGCGATCTTGCAGAAGCAGTGGGCCAGGTAGCTTTCCCTCGAAGGCTACGCGCAAACCTTCAATGTCGTGGCCGGAGCCGCCGCCAACGTCGACTAGGAATGGCTCGTCTTTGTCGGCTCCGTGGACCAGGCGCTCTTGGACGGGGTAGTAGTCTTTTTCAAACCACCGGGGTCGACCTTTGCTCCAGGAATCCATCATGCTAGCAAAACGACGTCCCATTTCGGGGTGTTGCTCAAAATACTCAAAGTAATGGCTTCCCTTGCAGTTGTAGCAGTGCTGAAAGGGCGCATCAAGGCCAGAGTCGGGGCATTTCCAGGCGCGCTGCTCAAAGTACGACTTCATGCAGTTGTGCACGGGTTGCATGGTCTCAGCTATGTACTTGATCGAGTCCTGGTAGGAGTGCTGGGCAAAGGCAGTAGAGGTGGGCGTGTTGGCAAAGATGCCGGGCCCAGTCTCGCGAACGGTATGCATGGCCGCAAGATGGCGCAGCATGCGCCCGACTATGACAGGGTCAACATTGTTGTCGCACTTGGTTGCGATTTCATCGATGGACGCGCCCGTGTCAGGGATACTCTGCATGGCCTGGAACATGTTGACTTCTGTAGCCATCCACAAGACGTTGAGATGGGCAGGCTGGGCCCACAGCAGATCGAGCATGGTCTCCGAGGGGTGGCTGATCTCTGCAATGAGGCCTTTGCACGCATCCAGCAGCTCTTTGCGCGCGCCGGGGCTGCCATTGCGGAAGTCGTTGCTCAGAGTGGCGACATTGTCGAGGAGCGCCAGCGCAGCTGGTGATGGCGTCGGATCGGCGGCCATGGTAACGTCTAATCAGACCAGTGCGGTGGGAATTTGATCTAGGAGAGGAGGGAACGCCTGTTCGATGGTGTGTAACGAGTGGTTGGCCTCGGGCCTCTTCCCCTCGCAACCCCTCAGCCCTCGCGCGGGCGGATGTTTGCCGAGAGGGACGGGCTGTGGGCTCTGATGCATGCAGGCAAGCGATAGCGACGGCGAGCTTGGAGGAAGGATGCATCAGGCGCAGGCGTCATGATATCCTGGGGCCACCGCCGTTAGGACGCTCTGGTTCCTCGATGCATCCTCGCACGTCTCCTCCCCGTCCTGCCGCACGCTCACCAGCCTCTCCACCCGCCGCCCGGCTAGCCCCCTGTGCGGCCCGTTTTTTGTCACCGAGATTGCCTGTTTGGCTCGTAGGCGATTACGAGGCAGCGCTGCAACCGTCCTCGATTAGCAGCCGTGTACCATGTCGACACGCCATGTCGAGGCGCATTCCCCCCCGCACGCCGCCGAAGCTGTGCGCGCTTCGTCGCAGTCGCCGGCCCACCCTGCTGCCGCCATAGACTCTGGCATCGATGTAGGCTCGTCATCCGAGTTTGACCAGGACAACAGCGCCGCCGGCCTCGCGCTCGTCGCTCACGACGACACGAGCGAGGCGTCGACGGATGAAGGGTAAATTGGCCGCGCTGACAGCATCCCGCGGCATCGCACCTCTTGTTAACGTCGTGTGCACAGCTATGCCGACTCTGACGCCTCATCGTTCCTCTCGTCGATCCTCTCCGAAGTGCGCCGTGGGGTGGAAATCGAAGGCCGTCTGTACCCCAGCTACGGTAAGCATGCCTATGGCATGCCCATGGACGAAAAGGAGCTCGATCGCAACGATCTCCAGCACCACAAGTACACCCTCTTGCTCCGCGACCGCCTCTTTGTCGCGCCCGTGCCAGAATCGACGTTTGAAGACGCAAACTGTCGCGTCCTCGACCTGGGCACTGGCACCGGCATCTGGGCCATCGACATGGCGGACAAGTACCCCAATGCAGAGATCCTGGGTGTAGACATTGCAGCCACACAGCCGTCCTTTGTTCCACCAAACTGCATCTTTGAGATTGACGACGTCGAAGAAGACTGGCCCTATCGACCTGCCCATTTCGACTTCATCCACGGCCGCGACCTAATGACGGCTATTCGTGACTGGCCCCGTGTGATTGCACAGGCCTATGCGCACCTCAAACCAGGCGGCTGGATACAGCTGGCCAGCACCATACCTGGACCGCTCACAGACGACAACACGATACCCGAGAACAGTGGTTACGTGGAAACAGCCCGAGTGTACTTTGAAATTGCGGAGAAGATGGGGGCGCCGCTCGCAGCGCCACGCGACTGGAGTACGCAGATGAAACAAGTCGGCTTCACCAATGTCCAAGACGAGATATACAAATTGCCCATGGGCCCCTGGCCTCGATCAAAGCGGCTGCGAACTGTTGGTAAGCTGGAGCAGATTATGATTCTTGAAGGCGGGTTTGAGGCGTACATGCTGCGCGGATACACACAGGTATTGGGTGGCAAGGTAGAGGATTTGCAGATTATTCTTGCTCTGGCGAAAAGGGAGGTGAGGGATCCGTCGATTCATACTTATGTGCAGTTTCATGTTACATATGGCCAGAAGCCCCTGTAGGTGTAGTGATTGGATTTTCAACCATGACACGAATCAATAGTTTTGTGGCCACCAAAGCTGAACGACTATCCACACTATTTACAGCAGTAGACTACGCAGAGCAAAGTCTCCACGGACATGTACTGACAGGGAGGCCCTTGCGTAACAGACCGGGGGAGACATACTTTAGGCGCTAGTTGCAAAACGGACTAGCGCATATCCCTCTGTCTCGGGAGCTTTTCGCGCTGACAGCATCCGTCCATCCATGGAGAGAGCCACGGCCACACAGGACATACACACATACACATCACCCAGATCCCATCTTACATAAGTACGATTCTCATAGTTACCACTGTGAAACGATCAGATTTGTAATCAACCATATCCCATTGTCACCCTTGAGCCCTGCACCTATCGTCAGCCCAAAACCACCCCACTCCCGCCTCTACCAACCCTCACTTCTTATTTACTGACATCCAGCAAGAAAGAGCACCGCACCAAGCCCTCCACTCTATTCAAAACCAATCTCTTCTTTCTTTGCTTCAAGTCTGCTTCGACTCCGTTGCATCCGCACCGCCAAGTAGTGTATTCGCGCTCAATTGAGGCAGTTTCCAGGACCTATACCCGATTTGGCAGCGCATATTCAGAGCACCCTGTTGGAGACAGCCAGTCTGTCCGACAAAGAGACGCGTCTTTTGGGTTATCGATTGCGTGAGAATCACACATGATGTGGGGCACTTTGACGCTGAAGCTTTCGAGCTTTCTTCTTCTCTCCCTCCCCTCCGTCTATTCAGTTTGTGCCTCAGAACAGCAACCATTTGAATTCGGCGAAATGTCTACACCACAGTACACGCTTCCTCCGCTCCCCTATGCATATGATGTTAGTATTGCCATCATCGCCCGTCCTACTACCCCGCACCAGTCGTACTCATAGCTTCACAGGCATTGGAGCCGCACATTTCTGCTCAGATCATGGAGCTGCACCATAGCAAGCACCATCAGACGTACATCACCAATCTGAATGGTCTACTCAAGACCCAGGCAGAAGCTGTCTCGACCCTCGACATCACATCTCAGGTTTCGATCCAGCAAGGCATCAAGTTCAACGCTGGCGGCCACATCAACCATTCCCTCTTCTGGCAGAACCTTGCTCCAGCCAGTTCTAACGAGGCCAAGAGCTCCGCTGCACCTCAGCTCATCAAGCAGATCAAGGCCACTTGGGGCGATGAAGACAAGTTCAAGGAGGCCTTCAACACTGCTCTGCTGGGCATCCAGGGCAGTGGTTGGGGCTGGCTCGTCAAGACCGAAGTTGGCAAGGAGCAGCGACTCTCCATTGTGACGACCAAGGATCAGGATCCTGTTGTAGGCAAGGGCGAGACTCCCATCTTTGGTGTCGACATGGTATGTTGACATTGCGCTTGGACATGTTGGTGAATGTGTGACTGACATGACATAGTGGGAACATGCATACTATCTGCAGTACCAGAATGGCAAGGCAGCCTATGTGAAGAACATCTGGAACGTGATCAATTGGAAGACGGCCGAGGAACGGTACTTGGGATCGCGCGCCGACGCGTTCAGTGTGCTCAAAGCGTCGATCTGATTTCAACGCAACTATCGTGTATTGAGAAAATAAAGTGTTGAGGACATCACAGTGTCTCGATGTGTACTCACACGACCTGTTCTGGTTAAAAAGTGATTCCATAGCACCGTGCTGGTTGCGCTCAGTCCGCCTCGGTCCAATCGGGTACTCTTGAAACAAACTTGCTCAAAGAAACTGCCTCATTCACACTCACATGTTTGGCCCTTCTTGGCTAATAAAACAATCGACGCGCAATCTCCAAAGCGACGTCATTTTATGAGTACCTAAAAGTCTCCATGATTTCCGCTTCTTTTACTTCCATTCTTACTATCGCATCTCTCCATTAACACACACACTCTCTCTCTCTCTCTCTTAACCATCTCATCCACTCACCAAGTAAAAAACACTACTCGAAACACCCAATACCCAACATGTGCAACGGAGAATCCACACGCGTAACCCAGGGCGGCTCCATCGCCGTCTTACATCCAACCCCACCCTCTCCCCTCCGCCGCACACGCTCATCCTCTTCTTCCTTCTCCTCCACATCTAGCTCCTCAGACGACGAAACACAACAAGAAGAAATCCTGCTCTACTTCACCAACCCCCTCTCAAAAACATCCGGCACAAACGTTGAAATGACTGGCTTCGGCCAACAATCTACACATGCAGCGTGGGTCGTAATACAGTACGTTTTGCCTTTCCACATTACACTGCTATGGTTTGCTAACGCAAATGTAGTCGCGACGGCGATCTCTCATCATCTTCTTCGCCCCAAGCATCCAACGCATTCTGCTCCTTCCCAATCAAATCGCAAAACGGGCGGTGGCAACTCGAACGCAAACTCGAGCTGGGTGTTGGCGAAAGGGGCATTATCGGGAGGAGAGTGTCGGTGTTGAGTGGGGCGAGGGAAGTGCTTGCGCAGGGTGTGATTGGGTGGAATTGATGCGGTATGGGGACTACGAGTATCATTGGGTGTTTTTTTTTGGATTGAATAGGTGAATGCATTAAGACGGCGTTTTCTGGCATTTTTTGGATGGGACATGGAAGAGTTTTGGGTAGATGGATTATTTGAATGAATTACTATTTTGTGGTTGACAGATGAAATAAAGAAAACCCCGACTAAGTGGGCTGGCCTACCAAGATATTAGTGTCTTTGCGATATTATACTATAATTGAATTGCAAATAAAGATTAGACCGAATGCTTACACCAATTCTGCATCTACTATACTTGGATAAAGGAGAAGTATGACAAAACTAACGTGCATCCATCCGTAATGGAACAGCCACCGTAATGGAACAAAACATATGTACTTCAACTTCGGACTACGACAATGATTCACCAGCTTCTTAACCCTCATTGTTACTCGCTACAGTATACACGTGTCCTATTTCCAAACGACCTCCGGCTAAACAACTATAAAAACACGCTTATGTAGATGCTACTCTGGCTCAATTAGCTTGGTGGCTTGGGAAGGGAGTTAAATAGGTAATCAGCTCTGGCGGAATGGAAAGCAGCGCAAGCCATTCTGATCCCTGAATCTTGTGGGGCTCTATATGGAATTTAGATCCAACATCGCGCATTGGAAACAGCATGGTTCTTGTCGCAGGATGTATCCAACCAGATAGCTCGATTGGACCTTCGGAAAACTGAATACAAAGGCTGTACGGTATTGTCTCGGCTGTGCTGACTCGAGCTATGAAAATGTCCTGATGGCGTCGATTCTGATGGACTCGTACTCTCTCTTGTGCATCGCCTGTCATGTATGTTACCTTCTACATATGCGGTCTAGTGTTTCACACAGAAGTGAATTTACCTAGGTTGTCAAAGAGAGATATGAACGGGCTAGGCTCCAGCGATCTATCGTTCCAATCCAGGTGTTTTCGAACTTTGGTTGGGTTAATCCAATAATCGTAGCCCATCGAATAGTGGCCCTTTGCCACGAAGCCCACGTTTCCATCACGGTAAGTGAATGAGCTTCTATGTTGGACCCGGTATAGTGATGGTGGCACTGGCTCGATAGCATTCATACTGGCACGGAGTGTGTCTTCGCAAAAGGTCAGCAAGACTCGAGATAAGCCAGAACTGACAACAAGGCAGGAGCAGGGCACGCGGGGCAAATGCCAAGAGCTTAAGGACTACTTAATAAGCCGGAAGAGCTTCTCGGGTTGCATTGCAAGAAGCGAACAGCGGTTTGAGATGAACATAAAAAATCATCGAAAATGATTGTTAGGCATGCTGATGTTTGTAAATTGACAGTGGTAAGGGCGCAAGTACAGAAGTTGGCGAATGCGGCTTTGCCCATCTCATAGTGTTCTTCTCTTGAGTACAATCTATAAAAATTAATTTGTATAGTTAGGTTTTATTATCCCTGAGTTTCTGAATGCTAGTGAGTGAGTAGCAACTTAGCTATAATTTTCAGCTGTATTTGCACTGCTCGGCAAGGCTGCTATTTTTCGGTTTCGTTAGTTGTAGTGTAAGCGGGATGACACTGCATTTCGCTAGTCGCTGTACAGTAACTACATCCAAAAGCCCGTATATCACTCGAGACGGTGGCCGAAAGAGAGATTCAGGATAGATAGATATAAGAGTATTGATAGCTCCAAGTCTTCAGATCACGTGCAAGCCAAGGCCTCGGCCAAAATGTCGATCAAAAGCGCATCTTGCCAGATGCGAACTCTTCACTTTGTACACGCATTTTTGCAGTTCCAAGTGTTCAGAAAGAGAATAATGGTTATTACACAGGTACAATAACGAGTTACATATCTGCGCGCCTCCTCTCGCCATGGCTGCCGAGTCTGCCGAAACGGCGCCTTCCCTACCTTATCACGAACCAGATATCATCACAATCCTCATCCTCACTTCCTTCCTGCTGTTGCTGAATGTCATCAATTCCGTATTTGACAAATTTCTCTACTGTGGTCTCCTCGGTCAAATCGCAGTCGGCATTGCATGGGGCACTCCAGGCGCGAAGATACTTTCGTCAAATGTCGAAGATGCGGTGGTGCAGTTGGGATATCTAGGGTTGCTATTACTTGTGTTTGAAGGTATGACAGATTTTTTCCTTTGGTGTCTTGCTTTTGGCGCGTTTTTCAGACTTCCAGACGTCCTGTTGCACATGCTAAGTCATATGGATAGGTGGCCTACATACCTCGTTCCAATCGCTAAAAGCGAATCTGCTATTATCATCTGGTGTCGCGTTGACGGGAATCGCCTTGCCAGTGGGTTTGTCGTATACCCTCCAAGGCTTACTCGACGCGACGCCGTTGCAAGCTTTTGCCGCGGGAGCAGCATTGTGTTCAACCAGCCTTGGCACGACGTTCACGGTTCTAGCGTCGAGCGGTTTATCGTCGTCCAGATTGGGCGTTGTGCTGACGAGTGCGGCTATGATGGATGATGTTGTGGGACTCGTCATGGTGCAGGTGATTTCTAACTTGGGTGGAAGCAACTTTAGTTGGGTTGTTGTTGTGCGCCCGGTTCTTGTGTCAGTAGCATTTGCGCTGACTGTACCTGTTGCTTGCCTCTTCATTGCGAGACCAGTTACTCTACGGCTTAATAAGTACCGTGAAGCTCACCTAAACGAGGCCCTGGATAAGCTTTTGCGGAAGCCTCAGACAGCCTTTGTGCTGCATACTCTACTCTTGGTTGGTCTGATCGTTGGTGCGACGTATGCTGGGACTTCGAACCTATTCGCCGCGTACATCGCTGGAGCAAGCATCAGCTGGTGGGACTCTGAAGTGGCTCATCCTGTTGTCAAGACGACAGTACATGGGGCTGCAGCTGTTGGTGAACAGAGTACAGTACCTACCGATCCTTCTCCAGAGCCATCGAACGGCTCACAAGGCTCTGATAATATCCAAAACTCTACGCAGAGTACATCTACCCTCAGAGCCAAAAAAGAGCCCAAGACTCCATCGGAAACACAGCCTGTTGAAGCATCGAGTACATGTAATGGCGATGAAGACACATCTGGATCCGCCATTTACCACCGATACTACTACCCCGCTGTCTCCAAGATCCTCCAGCCCTTTTTCTTCGCCTCCATCGGCTTCTCCATCCCAATCACCCGCATGTTCAGAGGCGCCATCGTGTGGCGCGGTTTCGTCTACACTATTTTGATGCTCCTCGGCAAGATCGCTTGCGGCTTCTGGCTCGTCCGGTTCTCTATCGCACCAGCTAAAGGTAATGTTAGCCGTGTATTATCCAAACTTAAACAGCTGTATATCCCGCATTTCTGGTCCAGAAGCACGAGCGCAGCAACGCCTGGGCCAAACAGCGCAAGAGAACCGACCACAAGCACATCAACGCGCGCTTCACCGAACCCGCCAAAGCCGTTTTCACTTCATCCTCCCCTCATCATCGCTCTTGCAATGTGCTCACGCGGTGAGATTGGGTTCCTCATATCCGGTGTTGCCGAATCCAAAGGCATCTTTTCCTCACCCAATGACGTCTCGACTGACTCGTCAGATATCTTTCTTGTGGTGACGTGGGCGATTTTTCTTTGCACGATTATCGGCCCCTTGGGTGTTGGGATGTTGGTTCGGAGGGTGAAGACGCTGGAGGAGCGCAAGAATCGAGTGCATCAGGGGAGTGGGAGGGATGTGCTTGGTGTTTGGGGTATGCAGTGAGAGACGAGGGTAGGGCGGTTCACTGTTCAGCAGTACATGTAAATACGGAGTTCTTTTTTGGATATATACATCACTTGTGTGTGGAAAAAGTTCGGAGTAGAATCTACCTAAGCATGTGTACATGGCATTTTCTTGGTATGGCAACGCGACAGATTCCAAGGGCAATGATATGAATATCAATTGAGTTTACCCAAAAATGCTCTCTATCGTTAGATGAACATTCCATCCCCTTTGGAGTTTTCTGGGGATCTTCACAGTGAAAGGAGACCCATACATGATTATCAACGCGTGATCACTCCTGTCACGTGTGTTCACTTTCATAGCACTCACCATAGCACATTCACTTAATCCGAAATTGCCTTAGCAACGATTTCCCATGCGCCATATAAACATACTTCCTGCTCAACATTCTGTCAGCTTCTTTCCCGCCTCAACTCAAGTCACTCGTTTCTGCAAGACCAACTGAGCAACACTCCTTCGGCAGTCACTGCCTATCACAGTCTCGAACCCACACTCAAAATGAAAACACTCTCTTTACTCCTCTGTATTTCCTTTATTTTCCTCTCATCCGCCTCCCCCATCACCAACCCAACCAACCTAACCGCGCGCTCTCCCCCTCAAATCCCCACCCACGAGCGCCGCGGCATCGCCTATAACAACGCCAAACTACTGTCTCTCTTTGCCCAACCCGGCTCACACATTACATGGCGCTACAACTGGGACTCTTCAACCGCTTCATCCCCGACCATTTTCGACTTCACCCCCATGCTGCACTCTGTGCGCTCCGACCACACAAAAGTCTGGAAAACCAACGTCGAAGCCGTAGTGCAGAAGAACTGGGAAAAGGGTCGAGCAACGTGGGTATTGGGCTTTAATGAGCCGGATGATTGCATGTATGTCTCCTTTCCCCCCTTTCCTCTTTCCCCAACGACGCCTTCCGATAGTAGGGAAAATGAGACTGACAAGTGCAATACACAGACCCAACACAGGTGGTTCCTGCATCGACGTCGCAACCACAGTTGCAGCGTGGAAACAGTACCTGTAGCCACTTGCTGCGTCCAATCGTAATGTGTACCTTGGTTCTCCGGCTGTTACGAATGCGCGGGCAACTGATACTTCGGGGCCGGGCTGGTTAGCACGGTTCCTACGCGAGTGCACTGGGTGTACTAGTGTTGATTTTGTGAACATTCACTGGTACTACGTCCTTCCCCCAACCCCTCCCTAACCTTCCAACGGCTAGTAACATCCCGTGTGCGCAGGTACGGCGTCGCCAACGTGCATTCCTTCAAAGCGTACATCGATGCAACGAGAAAGGTGGCGCAGGGCCGGCCGATTTGGATTACGGAATTCAAGCCTGAGGGGACGGTGGAGCAGATTCGCCGGTTTCTCGAGGAGGCGATGCCTTGGATGGATGAGAGTCCGGATGTGCATCGGTATGCGTATTTCATGGCAACACCTGGGGAGGGGTTCTTGGTTGATGGAAATGGGGGAGCGTTGAGTGAGATTGGGAGGACATTTGCTTTCTTCCATAGGCACTGAATATGTAGTAGTGATGGAGATGGTGGATTAGATGGATGTGAGCTATAGTATGCGGGATACACGGAAGTGGTATAGGTCGGATGTTCGGGAGACTCATTATCGATTTATGGGTAGCCTACCACATTGTATCAAAAAAGGTCAAAAAAGTTCGAACCAAATGGAGAAATGTATTTGACCAAGGCCATATGTCCAATGTTGCATGCCTTCCTACACCACGTGCACATTCATCCCCCCGGCGTCCAAGGCTGACCAATAGCTTTCCTAAATCCACCCTCGAACACATCAATTGTCTCATTCATACCCATCCCACTCGCAATGGCCAGCTGCAACATGATCCTCGCCTGAATCGGATGTACGAACCCGGACTTGGCGAAACTGGGTCTGAGCGCCGGACTCGATGGGCCATATGGACTTCTTGTCCCGACTACAATCTGCAAGCCCTTCTCCAACGCTTCCGATATTTGATCTTGACCACTCGGAATACCTCCGTTACCCGTCCCTGCAATTACTACGCCCTGAGCGCCATTCGCTTGTGCACCGAGTACAAGTTTGCCGTCGAATTCGCGAGCCGCATAAAGAATATCAACTTTGGGCAGACGGGGAAATGTTGCATATGACGATACAGTGTTGATGTCAAAGTAGTGCTTGAACAGCGGTTGACTTGGTGAATTGTAAAAAACAGGCAAACTGTTTATGAACAAGCCCAAGTCGCCGCCGGCATTTGCACCAAAAGCATCGGGATTCGTAGAATGCAGCTTCGTAACCCAGTAGCCGGGGATGATGCGCGCGTTGAAAGCAACCATGACGCCTCGATCACGTGAGGCAGGGCTTGCAGCCAGCATGACGGCGTCGAAGAAGTTTGCGTCGCCTTCATAGGAGAGGTGTGTAAAAGGGCGCATGCTACCTGTGGCGACGATGGGCTTGCCGCAATTTACGAGGCTGTCCATTAGGAAAGCAGTTTCCTCGAGGGAATTGGTCCCGTGGGTAAATACAGCGCCTAGGATGTCGCTGTCGGGAGAGCAGAGAGCATTGTGTGTGAAGCGTGTCATGTTCATGACAAGGGCGTCGTTGGTGCCGGTGGACCCATTGCCTTGAGTCGTCCAATTCGATACGGCGAGTTGTGTGTGATTAAGTAGGTACGGGTTCCGAGCGATGATGTCTTCTCCTGTTATGCCGATTTGTCCGTATTGAGTGTCATCTAGAGCGCCGTAGATGGATCCTCCTGATATAGTTCCTCCCGTGAACAGGATGCTGTTGTATGTTATTAGTGGGAGTCATAGTCTCAGAGGTGAGTATACGCACAGAACTTTGGGTAAGGAACTATTTCCACCAAGCCATGTTAAGCCAAGGCGTTCGCTCGCTGTACTTGTCTGGCGCCGTGCAATGGGCTCGGCAGTTGCGGGCACAACACCGAGGATAGCACTGAGAGCAGCAGCAGCAGCAACCAGACCGAGGAGATGCATTGTTCACAATGACAAGACCTTCTCAACGGAACAGTATCGTTAGATCCGAAGTCAAACTTTATATGTTCCTATGCTTATTCCACAAACTCGGTCATATTCACCAGTTCGGCCGAATTTCCGCAATGATCCAATGCCACACTATCGGTGACGGGTAATCGTGTGTCGTAAGGATTGAGAACGACATTGTGCATACGAAGTATTGGCGCTATGGTGAATGGGGAAGGTGTATGTATCGTTGTGAGAGGACGCTGATAAAAGCCGTTATCGTGCTTGCGTTGGAGTGTTTGGAGGAGCGAGGCTACTACGCTGCAAGCCCCACGTATGCCAAGAGCGGGGACCATCACGGCTACCGAGTGGCTGGATGCTGCATCGTGTCAGTTGGGACAGTCTTTGTGTTAACGAATCAAGTTTTGGGGAAACATTGTAAAAATTGACCTCTTTTAGGTTGACATGGCTAGGTCAAGTTGATAATGTATGTAGGCGTCTCGTCATGATGTATTCGCGCTCAAAACTTTCTCGGCGTCCATACATGGTGCCAAGACCCCCGCCCACGTGACTTGCCCATTTAACCAAAAATAAAAAAGCAAACTCAAAAACATACGACAGCGGGGATTCGCTAGTGGTCACCCACCTAACTACTAATCCGCCGGTAAACTGCTTATATATGCCAGATCGGACGGGATGGCTAGCTCTCAGTTTCCAATGGTCGTATGTACCAGCAAGGATGGTATTAGAACATTGAATCCGTGGTTTTACGATTAGGGGCAGGGTTAGGTTTAGGGTTGGGGTAAAGAACTCTGAGAAGACTCACGTGATGCTATCAATACGCCATAGGCTGAACCGTAGTGCCGATTGAACACAACCCTCCGCTCACCGCGAAGCATTTCAAAAAGGCTGCGAATAAATTAACAATAAAAAATAACACATGCTTCCAGTATCACGATTACTTGAGGGGATAGACCTGGGGTTCGCTTCTCACAACTATATAATACATGTTCAGAAAGGGATTAATGTCTCGTAAGAATTGTTTCTGCGAGCACCAAATAACTTGGTGAAATTACATCTCGACAACATCATGCAATATTGTCCTTGCATTAGATATTGGACTGCAACCAGACACAGACATAGATAATTGATCTCTTCGTCGGAGGGTATATTGACCATATAATACACAACTCTTGTACATTGGCTACATCTTGCCTCCAGTAAGCTCCTCGGCAAGCTTCTTGACTCGCTCCTTGGCGAGACCAACACCTTCGCCGCCCTTGAGTTTCTGCAGCATATCGCCCACGCCTTCGGGCATGGGTCCGTGCCATGGGCTGAGCCCCTCGTTGCCCGCATGTCTTGGGCCCATGTTGCCTCTCATATCCCAGCCCATGGGCGACTCCTCTGTGCCAAAAGCCTTGTCAATGGCTTCGTCCAGTTGTTGTTCGTCTACAATAAATTCGCGCGCATTGGTGTATAGGTCGTGAAGACGCGATGCGCGCATGGCGTCCACTTTGGCCATTCGTCGTTGGTAGGCTCTGCTGCGGGCTTTGGAGATGTCTGTTCGCGGGGGCAGGTTGTCTGTGAGGAAGTCGCGGATGCCCTTGGAAACGGAGTTCTCGGTCAAGATGTCGACTTCGCGGCGGGGTGCCATGGCCAGCTCGCGCCTCTTCGCTCCAATGGCCTGGATCTTAGCCATGTACTGTGCCTCTGACGTGACTTTTCTCTCGTGCAGCTGCTTGACACCCTCCTTCAAGTTTTCTCTCCTCTTGTCCGCCAGCCGTTGCTTATACAACCGGTATTCAGCATCTCTGCTATATGGACCTGGCACTTTTACTTCCTTGGGCTCTCGCGCCGTCTTTCCCAGGAAAACGTCTGATTCCTTGGGGTGCTTATTCCTCGTCTTGAATATGTCACGTGGAATGGGCAGGTGACCTTTTACTGTGGGTTTGGCCGGGTAGGTGGGCTGCAATGGCTTGGGGACTTCGACATAATTTGGAGATTGCGGGCCGAGGGCGAGTGATCGTGGTGTAGAGGAAAATGTGCGACTGCCCAGGCTCGCACCGGACCCATTGAGGACTGCGGCGGGTGAAGGAGACGTCCAGGCAAAGCGGACGGGTATCCGCGGCGGCATTGCGATCGTGGTGAGGGAGCCAAAGCAATGCGGAGGTGCGGGCGTGGTGTTGGTCAGTCTGGCTGTCTTCGAAAATGTCGGTGCCAAGCCGGCTTAGCCCCACCCAGACTAGCTCCGCCTCTCAAAAAAAGTTGCCCATCCCCATGTTCGCGACCTTCCTTCACTCTTCGCCCTTCCACCTCTTGTCAATCCCCCCAAAGGAAGCAGAGCCAACATGGGAGTCCACAAGAAAGAGAAGAGCCGCCGCGAGCGCGAGGGCAAGGCGCACGATGGCATGGCCAATGTCAAGGTCAAGGGCACCAATTTTTATCGGTATGTATACATCCACACTGCGATGCGCCCCGTAGATGCTAACAGCTTACAGCGATGCGAAAAAAGTAAAAGTACTCAAGCGCCTTACAGATGGCAAGGCCGAGCGCAATGCCAAGGGAGACATCACAAAGGCCGCCGTCTACCAGAGCCGTGATGCGCCCGTCGCCCGCGTAGAGCCCAATCGCAAGTGGTTCAACAACACACGAGTGATATCTCAAGATGCCCTCGAGAGCTTCCGGTCCGCTGTTCAGGCCCAGGCCGCCGACCCCAGCACATATCTCATGAAGCGCAACAAGCTGCCTATGAGCCTGATCGAGACGCCTGGCCAAATTCCTGGTCTGAAGCAGCACGCGGCCAAGATTGCCGTCGACAGCCAGCCCTTTTCAGAGACATTTGGTCCCAAGGCCCAGCGGAAGCGACCCAAGCTTGACTTCAGCTCCATTGAGGATCTTGCCGGCCGAACCGACAGCATGCACGAAAACTACGTCGAGCGCCTTGAGCAGGCTAAGCTGCTGTCAGGTACCTCAGGCGAAGAAAAGGAAGGCGACAATGACAATCCCAATGGTGAGCTTACATCTGCTCGAGAGTTCATCTTCATGAAGGGAACCTCGAAGCGCATTTGGAACGAACTCTACAAGGTAAGAGTCTTCACCCAACGTGGTCCTAGCTCCTGCTGACCCTTCTCTTCTCAGGTCATTGACTCCTCCGATGTCATCTTGCACGTCCTAGACGCCAGAGATCCAGACGGTACACGGTGTCGGTCCGTTGAGAAATACATTCGCACAGAAGCCCCTCACAAGCACCTGGTCTTCGTTCTTAACAAGGTCGACCTAGTACCCTCCAAAGTAGCTGTAAGTCTCTTCCCCACAACACCTCCCTTCCACCATCCACACCCTCCTTAAGTCAAGGACCTTTTCCTCTGCAATGATTATGGTTCTGTTACAAGTTGGGAAGAGCAAAAGTGGCTCGCCGGCCCAGGGTCGTCTTGATTGCGGGTCGATTGGCAACCGTCTTGGTTGTCAATCAATAGAGTCACGCGTGATTTGTTTGAGTTGAGGACCGTCTCTGCACTAGCAGCTTCATGGCGGTACTCTTAGTAATATTTCACACATTCCATTGTCGATACACACAACTTGCTGTTTCATCAATGGACAAAGCTAACACCGCTTAGGCCGCATGGGTACGCCATCTGAGTCGTGAATTCCCAACACTTGGTATGTTCTATTGTTGCTATGCTATGTATTTGATTCATGAACTAACCACAAGCGCAGCTTTCCACGCCTCAATCAACAACAGCTTCGGCAAGGGATCTCTCATCGCTCTTCTCCGTCAGTTCAGCTCTCTTCACAGCGACCGTAAGCAAATTTCGGTCGGCATGGTTGGCTATCCAAACACTGGAAAATCATCCATCATCAATACTCTTCGAAAGAAGAAGGTGTGCGTTGTCGCGCCCATTGCTGGTGAGACCAAGGTGTGGCAATACATCACTTTGATGAAGCGCATCTACATGATCGACTGTCCGGGTATTGTCCCACCGAACCAAAACGACACAGACGAAGATCTTCTACTGCGTGGTAGTGTCCGTGTAGAGAACGTCGAGTACCCGGCGCAGTATATCGAGGCTGTCTTGAGGAGGGTTCAACCAAAACACCTCCAAAGGACTTACGACATAAAGGAGAAGGACTACGAGAATGATGCTGTACGGTTCTTGGAAGTATTGTGCCGAAAGAGTGGCCGTCTGCTAAAGGGAGGCGAGGCTGACATTGACGGTGCTGCCAAGATGGTTCTCAATGACTGGATAAGAGGAAAACTCCCCTGGTTTACTCCACCACCATTCAAGGAGGGCGAAGAGACTGGACCTGTCAATGAGAAGCGTGACGGCAAACTCGGCGAGATGAGCAAAAAGCGCAAGCGTGACGGCGAAAGCCAGGCTACCGGAAGTGTAGCAGCGACCATCGACGCAAGCAGTGCAGCTCAAGACCAGATCGACGATGATGACGACGATGAGTTTGGCGGCTTCAGCGAGGATGATGATGTGGAAGATGATGACGAAGAATCGGAAGATGAAGAGGGTGGTGCCGCAATCGAGGGTGCCGAGGACGACGCAAGCGAAGATGATGAAGCTGTTGAGCAAGAGCTCGCTGCCATATCAGAAGCGCTCACAAAAGCTAAGAAGCGTCAACGGAAAACATGATGACCATTAAAAGAAGAATAGTTTTGATTCAAATGATACCCCAATATTACGATGCATCATCACAATGCACAGACCAAGTTCATCGATTTCATCCTCGGCCCTCGGAAAGCGTGAGTTCACGCGCAGTCACGGGTGGTAGTCTTTCTATTGAGAGATGAAGTGTACTCATTCAAACGTAGTCTGCTGTTGAAAGCGCTGATATCACGAGACAATCAATGAAACAAGGTTTACGCTACGCACTCGGGCCGACTACAAACCGGTATCACGTCGATGAAGGAGTGTTTACTCCAAAACAAAGACCCTTCTTTGTTCTCAGCAAATATCCAGGTACCTCTCGATGATATCATGCAAATCAGTATAAAATTACTCTTCGATCCGAAAGCCTCGTACACTCTACCGACATGGCAGCACTTGGTATCTCACAATGGCTTCATCTCACCGGACACTAGTGCTCCGTGTGAGCTTTCCTCATGACAAATCTATGTTTGCTGTCCCAAGCTGATTGGTTTTAGTAGTACCCTGCGTGCTGGCGTCTTTTTCTCACGTACTGAACATGTTCAATATCATCTTTGCAGTCGCTTGAGTAGGGCAAACAGAAAGTGTCCCCGTGTGGGGCACACAAGTGTCCGATACAACTACCGTAATACACGTAATGTTCTGCTGTGGGGCAGGGTAATACGTAAGCCGCACCCTTCCGGTACATATATCAAATACACTATGACCCCTTCATCCGTTAAACCAACTGCAGTATGGATAAGTCCAGCTCTCTAGTCGAACTTGCACAAAAGATTCTTGAAGAGGCAGAGAAGGTGGAAGCTAGTGGCAATGGCGGGGGATCCACTGAAGCTCTATTGGAAGCAACGCAGGAGTTGCAAACGTCTCTACTGACAGCACCGAAGCTACTTGAACAACACCAAATTCGCTGCCAATGTCTCGCTGGGTTGAAATGGCTGGCGAGATTTGAAATCTTCAATCATGTTCCCGCTGATCTCAGTCCTATTGCCTATAAGGACCTCGCGGCCAAAGCGAATGTGCCTGTCAGGCGGCTGCAGTCAGTCGTGCGGCTGGTCATGACGGACGGGATTTTTTTCGAACCCTCACCAACTCAAATTGCACACACCCAGCTATCAGCAACATTCGCAAGGGATAGCGCTCTTCTAGATTGGGCTTCCTTCATATTGACTTACCAAGCTCCTGTGGCATATCAATTTACCGAAGCAACAGCGAAATGGCCCAACTCAGTAGACAAAAACGAGACAGCGTTCAGCCTGGCCTTTAACACCGACTCAACTTTTTTTGAGTACTTGGAAGCCCATCCGGACATGACCAAGGCCTTCGCAGGTTACATGCGTGGGTTGCAACGAAGCGGAAGCGGCAATGTCCAGCACATTGTCGATGGCTTCGACTGGGCCAGCCTGGGCGAAGCAAACATAGTCGACGTTGGCGGATCGACTGCACACGCATCCATTGCACTAGCCTCCGCCTTCCCAAGCCTCCACTTCACTGTCCAGGATCTCCCCGAGGTAGTCGAAGAAGGCAAAGCCAAACTACCCCATCTCGCCAACGCCTCTATAGCCTCACGCATCAACTTCTCAGTCCACGACTTCCTTACACCCCAACAACTCCAATCCGACGGTCCCAAACCCGATATCTACTTCCTCCGTAGAATCTTACACAACTGGCCCGACCACAAGGCCCGCGAAATTCTCAACCACCTCGCCGTCGCCCTACGCGATAGTGGTAACCCCCGCGCCCGCATCCTTGTCATGGAATCGATTTTACCTCTCCCCGGCACCCTTCCTCGCTCCAAAGATGCCTATTTGCGCGTGCGCGATCTGACCATGAACCAGCTGTTTAATAGCAGGGAGCGCGAGTTAGAGGAGTGGAGAGACCTGTTTGCAAGTACGGAGCCGAAGTTGGAACTTAGGGCGTGGAAGGAGCCGACTGGGAGTAATATGGCGGTTATGGAGGTGGCGTTGGTTTGAGGAAAATGATTATTGGAGGGAGTGGTGGTGTTTTAGAGTAGGGCTGGTATGAGAGTAGAAATGTTGGTAGTTTGATGCTGAGACTTGTTGTGTGTGAACCAATTGTCGTGTATAGAACAAGAAGAAAGGAATTTTCTAATTGCTTGAGAATATAGAAGGACAAATTTTCATCCATTGTTCTGCGGAGATGGTCGGCCAGATCATCCGTCCATGCGAGTTCTATTCTTGCCATGCGAACAGGTTTTCTTCCTGTGAACAACGACTGAAGCTTCAATTTCCTAGAATACTTCCATAGTAGACGAGCAAAAAGCTGTTGCAAGCAGTCTTTCAGCGAACCACGGTTTCAAAGCAAGGGTGATCGCCCCAAATATGCATTGTTGGGCAGTGGCCTTATATCTATCATAGAAAGAAGTCTCGCGGCCAGTCGTGTGGCGCTCTCCATTTTTTGCTGCGCTTTATCTGGCGTCAAACATCTATCAACCGCCAGTTGCAGAATGGCCCTTATCTCATCTTTGGTATTCGTGGTCTCGATATCTTTAGCAATGGTTATGATGTTTTGGTGAGCTGCTGCCAAGAGTTGCTGATCGCTGCTTATCATCAGACTGCATTTCTTGGTGTAGTATGAAAAGTATGACTTCCAGTCAGGGTCATCTTATCGCAATTTGACTGTCAAGGCACTATTTTCTCATATTTTGTGGGTGATATTCTTACGTGCAGGTCCTGGAATTTGATTCTTGAGAAGATCATTCAAAGGCATTGTGCATGCACAACCAAGTAAGCCTTTCTGGTGTGTCAAGGCGCTGCAAGATTCCTGTCACACGGTTCAAAGTTATATCACATAACTGTCTCACAAATACTACGGGACACTTCCGATACACTTGTTAATGATCCAGAAAGTGAAGATGGCGACATAGAGATTCCGGGGTATGCAGATGGCGAATACGAAACGGGACCACACGTTGAGATGGCATCTCGGAGCAGTGTGAGCTCTGTACAGATGAGTTGAGTAAGCATCTTGAAACATTCCAAAGCCCTTCATTCTCCTCTCGTAGTACAGATTTACATACTGCTTTGGCCGTTTCAAGAGACTCACATACCACAAACTTCTTCCAACCTAAGCGGGTAGGGGTGGGAGCGTTTTCCGAAATAATTGTTGAATCCCGAGAATATCGTTTACTCAACATCTTCGGAGAGACTGTAGAATTCTCGGTGGACCAGGATTGGGCCTTGATGATGATAACTAATCATAAATTCCGTGATGATTTGTTTGCTTTGCTTCAACCGTGGAGCATAACGCACATACCTGAAATTGCCCCCGCCATCATAACCAGCAGGGTAATATGTTTTGCATCCACGTCTCACTGTCTCAGTAAACCTTTGGAGATCCCCGCCTACATGTGATTACCCAAATCTACTAGATTCCAAAATATGTATTCGAGGACGGAAATAAAATCATCCAACCCAGCAATTGTGGTGCAAGAGTAAACGATACTGTCACGGGTCTAACGTATAGTTATGTAGTTGCGTCTACTGACGACTCGACCGTTGCTTTCATAAAGCCCACACACGAGGTCATGGACAGTATCACGACTAGAATTGGTCAATAGCATCGATCCTGGTCATATCTATCAATTTCCCTACTGTACGAATGGCTGGATTCCTTTACGAAACAAAGACAGCATCATCCAAGAACGCCGCAGCTCAGACCATATCCCTCTGTGGCAGGAGCCAGTGGGTGGGCACTGCTATCGTATATATTTTCCCTAGAAGATGCAGTGTTTCACAAAGCATCCTTGGGCGTTTTCTTATTGAACATAGTTGGCAATTTCCTTGTGCTTAACGGCATTCGGTTCTTTCGTATCAATCTTCTGAGTCATCCAAGACGTGGAAATATCGCCCAAAGTGGCGTTTTGATCTCTGTTTTCATCGGAAATTGCACCATCGCAGCTATCAGAGCTTTCAAAGCGAACGTCATAACTCCCTGTATCTTATTCTTCTGCTGGTGGCGGAGATTTGTCTTGAGACATCCTCGTGCCAGAGAATTTGCCCTGTTTATTCGCACCAAGATTACTCTACCACTCATGGACTTCTTCCAGCTGTTTTTGCCATTTTATGGAACACCTCGTTTCAGATTTTCAATCTATGCACAAAATCTGTTTTTGCTACTCGCGTTAGCTTTCGCTATTATCAACTTTATATGTTCGGGATGGCCCCTCGTATTCTTCGAAGGAATGGCTTACACAACTCCTGCTTGGATTACTTGTATGATTATTTGTCAATATGTCCTTTTCTGTGACGGAGGGCTCGACAACTCACCTGACGAGGAGTCGGAATATACCTTGCAAATCAAGACATGAAAGGTGTCTTTCGGCAGCTTTTCTCATCTTTTCGTCTTCTGTGAAAGTTACAATGATTAAGGGTTTTCACGGCTTCCTTCTCTAATGACAACAACAAACCTGATTATTTTGCTCTTGGTTCCTTAAAGTCCAGAAAACTTCCTTTATAATGTCTTTATAAGCTTGTATCAATTCCAAAGTAACTACAACTATCTGACTCCAGAGACTCAGTGAAGTCCGAAAATGAAAACGATCACGAAAATCATGTAACATATTCTCCGCTCAGTATGACATCACTATGAACCCACCATGCTTGGCTGATATTGAACGACGCCTTGTCCTCTCACGAACTCCTCACCCACGGACCAAGGAAGTCAAGTAGAATGGACTTTGGGCTGAATCGTGGATGGAAACTCACTCGCGATATAGACAGCCGCACGCTCCCTGACCCTGCCGCGGAATTCTAGAAACCTAGTCTTTCACTCGTTGTAAAAACCGAGGCATTCTAGTATTTAGGCAGAATGAAAAAGTTGCACTACTAACCCACGTTGGAGACTCCACACAAGCGGCTTGTTAGTCCGACATAGTGGGGACATGGAGACCCGCGGAGCGGCAGATGAACGCTTTTCAATCTATTCCCGCGCCACACGTTGCTTGCGAAAGCTTGGTTCCTGCAGTTGAGCCTCAAAGCTTGTCTTTCCCGGGACTACAGATCTGAATACGGAGCATTTGATAGCAAGCTGGAAAGAACAATCTCATGAGGTGTAGGCTCGCCAATTTCTAACGATATGGCTGCCGTGGCACAGATGGATCAATTCATCCGTGTCCGCTTAGCAAACAACGGGGCCCTACTGAAGGCAACCCGCCATTATACCCACTCTCCACGCTCTGATCCAATGTTACGCGTCCTCTCCACTAGTTTCGGGTTGTCTCCATCTCGCACGAAACATGCATCTATTGCTGATTTCCGATAACTCCGACGCGAGCATCGCCCCCACAGCAAGAATCAAGCATTGGTACGACTGAGCTTAACCGTTTTGTTTATTCGTCATGAACAATCGACGGCTTTCGAGTCAAGTATGCGGTGACGGCGAGGCAAATTCGGATTGCATATGTAGTATCGGTTCTCCAGGACAACTATATCACCGGGTTTCCACAGTTCAGGACTTGGGATGGACTACTGAAGGACTAATTGATCTTGCGCGCCCCTTTCTTGCAAGTCTCGAATATCTCTCTCGGTCTTCTATACCAGCCTTTGATACGTCAGCCATTCAAAATCCCTCAACATGGCTCCTGTTGGTGGTGGTGGCGGTGATATCCAGGTAGCGGCTTTGGCACGTCGAAAGGCCCTCGCTGGCGCATCCGGACCCATGGCTCTGGTAAAGAACGCAAAAGTGTTCGGTATTGCATGCTTTGCTTGCTTGGGAGGCTTGCTATATGGATACAATCAGGGTGTCTTTTCTGGTGTTCTTACCATGAACGCTTTCAAGAAGCGTGAGCAGCTGAGGATACTTTTCAAGTTGCAATAGTCGATGCTAATGATTCCTAGATATGGGCGATTACATCAAAGATCCACAGACGCTGGAATGGAACTCTTCCAAGCAAGGCTGGCTGGTTTCCATTCTCGAACTCGGAGCTTGGTTCGGAACCATGTACTCTGGTTTTCTTGCTGAGATCCTGTCGCAGAAATGGGCCATTCTGATCAACGTTGCCATATTCATCGTCGGTGTTATCGTGCAATGCACAGCTATCACAGGAATCGGACACAGCGCTATCCTGGGTGGTCGCTTTGTTACGGGTATGGGCGTAGGCTCTTTGTCCATGATTGTGCCGATGTATAACGCGGAGATTGCTCCACCAGAGGTACGCGGTGCGCTTGTTGGACTCCAGCAATTGAGTATCACACTGGGAATCATGGTCTCGTTTTGGATCGACTATGGCACCAACTACATCGGCGGAACCGGAGCCGGACAAGAGGATTCTGCATGGCTCATCCCTCTTGCTTTGCAACTGGCTCCCGCTGTCCTTCTCGGTGTTGGTATGCTCTTCATGCCTTTCTCTCCACGTTGGCTTGTCTACCACAATCACGAAGACGAGGCCCGCCGTGTGCTCGCTCAGCTGCGTGGCCTTTCCCAGGACGATGAGCTTATTGAGCTCGAGTACGCCGAGATCCGCGCTCAGAGTTTGTTTGAGAAGAAGTCGCTTGCAGAAAACTTTCCCCATCTCCAGGATATGAGTGCGGCGTCAATCTTCAAACTTCAGTTCGTGGCAATTGGAAGCCTATTTACAACAAAGGGCATGTTCAAGCGCGTCGTCATCTCAGTGCTTACCATGTTGTTCCAACAATGGACGGGAATTAATGCAATCTTGTACTATGCGCCGACCATCTTCGGTGATCTGGGGTTGTCAAGTAATTCTGTTAGTTTACTGGCTACTGGCGTTGTGGGCATTGCCATGTTTGTTGCAATCAGTAAGTTGACGAGCCATATATACCTCAACCCCAATACATGATGCTAATAAATAAATAGTCCCAGCAGTTCTGTATGTCGACACGCTTGGCCGCAAACCAGTGCTTATCAGTGGAGCTATCGGTATGGCTGCTTGTCACTTCATCATCTCTAGCATTGTAGCCAGTTTTGAAAACGACTGGCCACACCATCAAGGTGCGGGCTGGGCTGCATGTGCCATGGTCTGGCTGTTTGTTGTCTTCTTTGGTTATTCGTGGGGTCCTTGCTCGTGGATTGTCATGGCAGAGATTTGGCCCCTGGCAAACCGCCCATACGGTATTGCTCTTGGCGCGTCTTCTAACTGGTGAGTGAAGTTGTCGTCCCATCAGCGGCCTTCATGGCTCGAGATACTTACGTTGTTGCAGGATGAACAACTTCATTGTCGGTCAAGTAACACGAGATATGCTTACGCACCTGCGTTATGGCACTTATATCTTCTTTGTTATCTTCACTGCTGTGGGCGCTGCTTTCATCTTCTTCTTTTTCCCGGAGACAAAGGGATTGTCGCTGGTAAGTTGGAAGCTCAAATAAGTCAACAAAATGCGATGCTAATGAATATTCTAGGAAGAGATGGATCATCTCTTTGGATCAGTCGGCACTGCGCAGCGGGAAAAGGAACGTTGGAATGAGGTCTATCGTGAGGTTGGGCTTGCAGAGCTCCTGGAGCGCTGTGGTCTGGTAGATCAGACTGCTGATTCGGGTGCATCGATAGAAAAGGAATTGCCGAGCTACAATGACAAACTTGAGAAGGATAAGCCGGCGTTTCATGAGTTGGCGTAGAATTCTGTGTAAGGATGGGTGGGACTTTAGTAAAAAAAACACTAAATGTGGTCGTGCAAAGCACTGCTCTAGTCATAACCAGAGCTGCATTTTGCATCCCTGAGGTCGTTGCTACTGCTTGGCTACAGTCCATATTTCATGCTCTATGCATGGAAGCTGCTGAACCCATCGTCATGGTAGACATCTTAGTGTCTACTTGCGCAAGCCTCGCGTAGTCTGTCTCTTGATTCTCTCATTAACCTTGAGAACAGGCGTACTCACTCTCTTCGCAAGTACAACAGGTTTCCTCGCCACAACAACCGCGCCATCCCTGCTTTTTCTTTCTTGCTCCTCCCTTTCGGCGACTGTCTGGTCCCGAATCCTCTCCGCAACCTCCTCCCATACGCCGGGAACTTTGGTCTTCATCGTATACAACCTACCCTCTTTGACATAAAACTTGAACCGAGGCTCGTTGATTACGTCCAGCACCCTCTTCATGATACCCTTCTCCCTTTGCCTCTGCGCCCATGCCTCCGTCTTGGGCAACTCAATATTTGCAAGGCGGAATCGGCGCTGTGGCAGGGCACGTAGTTCATGTAGGAAAGCGGTGGTGTGTTTGCGGAAGGGGAAGATGCGGAGAGTGACGAACTCGAGTTTGGTGTTTGCAGTTGCAAGGGGGTTCTTACGCAAGGTGCTGGTGAAGCGAATGAGGTCATGGCGGGAACGCCGAGCGTGTTCAGGGATTTGGAGGAAGATTTGGTGGACGAAGGGGGCGGTGAGGTAGGCGAGGGTTAGGGTGGGGATGGTGCCAAGGACGCCGACTGAGTGGGATTGTTAGATGTTGGTTGGGTATGGGCGGTGTAATGGAAAAGAAAGCTGGAAGGTGAGGAGTTGGAATGCCAATCGAACATATGCCCTTCAAGGTGTCGCGGAGTTGCATGACTGGTAAGGATCGTAGTGAGGATGCAAAATAAGGAAACATATTTTGAGAAACTGAAGGCTACTATAAAGATGAACTGAGAGAGAAATAGACGTGACCGGAAATCATTGGAGAAATCTTCGAAAAGATAGTCGCGGGATGAACACCAAACAAAGTCATATAACATTCCGAGGGGTGAATGGGAATGTATGAGATGAAAGCAAAAGGAAAAACACTCACCCAAGATGGCCTGCATCTTTCTCAATCGCGGGTCAGGTTGATTTTCATTGTTCCATAACGGGGGTACGCCGAAAACTAAAGTGGTACCGAACTGCAGCAAGGCCATTGCTTTCCAGAAGGAGATCCATGTGGTGCGTGCGTCGCCTGCATCATAGATGAGTAGTCTAGATGGATATCCTATTTTAGTAGTCAGTTCATGGCAAGAGGGATCTGAAGAAGGTGATTTCCACGCACTCCGATCTTTCTCCGCGGTTTTAGCTCCTTCTTTTGCTGATTTCCCAAAGAAGCGCAGATTTGGAGAAGTGGAAAATTTCCTTTGACAGCCCTGACATACGAAGCTGGAGCTGTGTATCTTGATCACCGGCTGTCTACCTCTTGATAATGGTGCAGCGCTTCTGAAAGCAGCTGCAAAGACGAATAGACGTGGCTGCATGTCGAGTGGGAGTGGGTGGGTGGTGAGTAGAAGATGGGTTTTGCAATTGTATTTCAATCGCTGAATGATGTTCCCTGCAGTATGCAAATATCTGGCGCGTAATACTTCAATAGCTGCTGTACATGGTGTCGGTCGCGTGCCGGGTGCAATTGGCCAATGACGAAAACGCACGAGGGGGTGAATGTGTATCGAGTTTTGCAGATGTCGCGATGTCACGTGGGTCGGCGACACGGAGCAAGTTCTGCCGAGCGCCGAGAGGCGGCGGTGCGTGTGTCAGGGTCTGGGCGGGAGACAAGGAGAAGCCACGATTCCTCTATACTACTCGAATCGACTAAACTACTCCACTACACACGTGCCAGCCGTCGCTATGTCTGCTACTAGTCATTTTGTTGTTTGAACCACCGTTATTCCTCTGTCCCGCCCGCTTCGGATTGATTGGTGCATGCTTCATGTGATAGGCCGCAATTATGTTGTTCGCCCGCGCGTTCCTGACGCTTCTTTCATGCCTTTCCCTCGGCTCCGCTTACCACGACCTCAGCGACGAGACACTCAAGCACCTGCCTGGGCCAGGCGATGATTTCGACATTAAAAAGGGCTCCTTGCTGGCGCCCATTCTGGTCCCTAGAGTATCAGGGACCGAGAGCAATGCTGCCGTGCGCAAACACTTTGTAGACTTCTTTAAGTCACAGTTGCCCGAATGGCGGATAGAACTGCACAATTCCTCGTCGACGACTCCCGTCAGTAATGGAAAGGAAGTGCCTTTTGTCAATATCATTGCCACGCGTGACCCTCCAGGCAGCTTGGAGGGCGATGTGTCGAGGCTGGCGCTGGTCGCCCACTACGACAGCAAGTTCACGCCTCCGGGCTTCATCGGAGCCACCGACAGTGCCGCCCCATGCGCCATGATCTTGCATATCGTGCGCAGTATCGACGCGGCTTTGACCAAGAAGTGGGCCGAGGCAAAGGGTGATGACTTTGAAGTCGAGCACAAAGGCGTCCAAGTCTTGCTGCTGGATGGCGAGGAGGCTTTCAAATCCTGGACCGACACCGACAGTCTCTATGGTGCCAGGTAGGTAACGTTGTTTTTGATCAATACAACCAAGTGCTAAGCTATGATGTGCAGGGCTCTTGCTGGCGATTGGGAGTCGACCTTCCATGCCGCCGCTTCGATCTACCGGACGCCCCTCGACTCCATCGAACTCTTCGTCCTCCTTGACCTGTTAGGTTCCAAGAACCCACAAGTACCCTCGTACTTCTCAACCACTCACTGGGCGTACCAAAATGTGGCAAAGATCGAAGACCGCTTGCGCAAACTCGGTCTGATGAAGTCATCTCCAAATCACAAGTCCAAAATGGCAAAGCGTGAGAACAAGAAGCCTCGCGAGGAGAAACTCTTCCTGCCCGAAGCATCTAAGCAAAGCACCAACTTCATGGGTGGGTTTGTGCAGGACGACCACGTCCCCTTCATGGCTCGTGGCGTTGAAATTCTGCACATGATTCCCTCGCCATTTCCAACTGTGTGGCACACAATGGAGGATGACGCAGAACATCTAGATATGGACACGGTGGAGGATTGGACTAAACTGTTCATGGCTTTCACCGCTGAATGGATGGAGTTAGAGGGTTTCTTTGACTTTAAAAAGGAAAAGAGGGAAGAGACAGCGAAGTCGGAATTGTAAGCAGCTTCCTCCCAATCAAAACCATCCGTAAGTTAACCCGCCACAGTGAGATACCCTAAAGTCTTGCAAATACTTGCAAATGAATTGTTCCAAATATCAAAGTGACATTGCATTGAACGTTGTGCGCGGTCATGTTTCGCAGTCTTTGCATTGATTCTCCCTCCATACTAACAATGAGACAAAGGCTACAGTGACAACAAAGTGTTCAGATGCCACCACTCCCACCCAAGACCCGTCAAAGACACGGTTCTCACACTGGGCATCAAAATACATGGCATCTCCATCGCATCTCAAGTCCCACGCAACGTCTGGTGTCCTACACCTTGATCTGTGGATTTAGCATAACTACGGGTTTTTAAATTTTAAATTATAGCGACAAGCCATTCTTGTAGTGCCAATAAACAAATCAGCACAATGCCTAGAGGAAGAGGAAAACAAAGCCACGCCAGCACATACGGTCGATCCCTGGAGTCTAACGGACGCAGCAAGGCACCACAAGCTGCTGCGCATCGCCGGGGTGGTACACATAAAGTGCGCGATTCAGACAGGACGAATTCTATATATGATGCCTACAACTACAAAGAGCTGCTCGATGCAGCGAAAGAGCGCGGTGTATACCGCAAGGACATGAAGAAGGCAGAAATGGCGTGGGCGTTGAAGCGAAACGATGGAGACAAGAAACGCGCTGAACGCGAAAACCTAAATGCACTCCGCAAGAAGCAAAAGGAAGCGAAGAGGGCACAGGAACGTATCGTTGCAGAACAGAAGGCGTTCATCAAAGCTAAACTCCAAAGGAAGGTCGAGAAGATGCGGAAAAAAGAGCGAGCTGAAAGTGTCAGTGACGATACCCAGAGTGAAAATGAGATAGAAGCCCAGCAAAACCTTCCAGATGAGTATATGGGCGAGGCTATAGGATACGCACTCAGCGTCTCGTCCTGGGATAGCACTTCGACGGAATCAGTTCCCGACCCCACCAATCACCACCTCATACCATCCTGTAAACTACAACTCTTGGAATGGCCACACGAAATCATGCCACCTGTCATCCCGTCTCGTTATCTCTGTCACGTCCCCGCTCTCCGACCTACAAGAAAACTCTATACCCCACTCAAGATCATCACAATAACAAGCAAGCAGAAACTCTGCCTCCCAGGGCTCAAATACCCTCCAACCGTAGACCCGGACTTTGTCCCCCTTCTCCCTGACTCTGTGCGCGCCGCAGCCCACGACGGGCGTTTAGAAGGCATACTGCGCAACGCTATTATTGAAACAGGTGAAGAGTGGGCTTCTCGGACCCTTGTGCAAGGAGATAATGCTACCCTGTATTTTCATCTTGGCAACGCTAGTAACCCAGCAAAAAGCCTTGCTGATGTATACGGCAAATGGAGTATGGAAGAGAGAAGAGCGAGACGCGTAGATAGGACGTGTGAAGCGTATCGTGGGGCGAAGGAGGAGAGGAAGAAGAAGAGAAAGAGGATCAAGGGGAGGTTGGTGGCTGAAGTGTATGACACCTGCAAGTGGAGGCCACGGGCTGTGGGTTACGTACCTGCGTATCTGGACTTTGGGCTTAGGGAAATACGTGAGGATGAGAAAAAGCTGAGAAACTTGCGGTATGTGAGGTTCAATAGTTGCGATGTGCCGCATTATTGTTTTTGGGTACGACATACGAAAGAAGGCGATGAGAAAGAAGCAGACGAGAAGGAAGTAGACTGGAAGGAAGTAGATGATGGTGTGGAGAGTGTGTGTTCTGATGAAGAGGAGGAAATAAGTTACCCTCGATGCTTTATTGCAACAAGGACAGTTGGTAACGAGCACAATTCCGGAGTCTATTTTGCAAGGAAACAACCATGCACGCCTTGCATCCATCCTGACGGCCATCTGGCTGATGAAAGCGAGTCTTCCGGAGATTGCGAAACTGAGATCTCACTGGATGAGGCTGACACTGAATTGAAGGGTGGAGCATTGTGTCGCAGGGCCAGTACTGCTGCACTCATTCTTAACCCGCAAGTGGAAAACCGCCAGTCAATCATGAAATGGCTAGAGCAAATTAGCCCCAGTTTCAACGAGCCGCCGCTGCCACTAAATCCACCGGAGCCTTTTGTTACCATCACGCCGCGTGCTGATGGGATAGAGGATCAGAAAGAAGCCCTTGCACGCGTACCAAGCGCGAGATAGCAGATAAGTGCATGTTTCGTGGTTTGTCATGGACCACGATGACATCTCAGGTATATACAACAAAGCTCCTGTACTCAGATGGGGAATTAACGTTGTTGCAGAAACAAGCCAAGCGCGTGGTTTCTCAAAGTGTTCTTCCAAAGACACCACCGTGTATGCTGTTTGAGAATATATTTTCCGCTGGTTACGCGGATAGGTCGTTGTTCAAAAGAAAGGCGGGATTAGATGGGCTGGAATTTTTGTAAGAATGTCGCAGGGTTAAGCGACGAAGGGCGGGGTTGTCAAAGGCTAGAATGGCTGGGTGTTAGTTGTTATGATGAAACGATTGCCATAGTTCTTTTGAAGTGCATGCTTTGCAATTCAGAGAATATTAGGTAGTGACTCTCGTCCGGTGTCATTCTTCAGCTCGTGGAAATTGCTCAAATCATCATGCTGCGAAGTGCAGCATATCTCACAAAAGACTTCACCTCCATTCCCCTTGCTGGCTCCCGTTGAGTATACATACCATCACTAATTCCACAGTGGGCCATGGCTGCTGTTGTGTTATGACTATATCCTGTGTTCACACCAGCGCCACATTGTCGGCTGGATTACCAATCTCTTTAAACTTTGCGATAAGACCATCTGTACCACTCAGATTCGTGCGTATAGAAGCCTGAGAAGTGAGGAAGCTATAGATAGAATCAACTGTTCTGCCTTCGAGCCCAGCCGTCGTTAAACACTTAGTTCAGGTTATGATCCGACTAACCAAGATCAATAAAACCAATGACCACCAGCTACCCCAGTTCTTATTCAACTCATCGATAGACAACTTTGCGCTAGAGGACTTCAAATTCAAGGAAGGCGCGCCTGAGTCCGAGAACCTACAGCAAAGAACATGGGCCAATTATCGTGATGAAACGGTCTGGATAGAGCGGAAAGAGATTTCAACTAGGTCTTCTTTCCGTCCCGACCATATGCAAGTCCAGTGGAGGATAGGCCTGTTAACGGATCTCCTACACTCAGACAAGCCAGTCTGCATAGCCTCCATACCCTGAACTGGCTGTACAAGGCCTCGCGATCGGATAATGTTATATTCTTACTACCCTCCCTTCTCCAAATCTCCAATCAAGATTCGCCTGTGGATCAGATCTTTCGAGTCTAGCAACATAGATCAATGAACCGAGAAACCTAGATTCAAACTTGCCAAAGATATCTATCGTCATCCCAACGCGCAGTCCAGCCAAACAGACGGCTATCATCGTAAATCGTATGACATTATACAGCCTCTGTATTATAATGATCGAGATCGCGCTGTGGCGACCCATCGAGGATGTTATTGGACCAGAGAGTCTTTCAAAGGGCCGACCGTCAATGCTTCGAACATGATGCAGCAGCTTCTACCGAGTCGTTCCAAAGTTGGCATTGTAAACTCCGAGTTTCCTTCGCAGCAGATTGTTGCTGCATGTGGTGATTCGCTATACAAAATCATTGAGCACTGTCCGAGGATTGATGTCGAATCTCAGCAGGGACTTGATACTTTCTTGGGACTAGAGCTAGTAGTAGACCTAGATTTTGTAGAAAAGCTAAAGCAATAAAGTTAAGGGGGGAAATGCATGGAACGTGACGGGATCCCTTTCTGTAGTGTCTTCAACAGGCATGTGGCTTTAGGAGATGTACCTCGGGTTAAGTCTCATGTTCTAGGATTCGACAGTAGTATGGATATAAATGTTGGGGGCGGAAAGCGGTCGAATCATTGCCAAGTCCTCCACTTCCTACTCCTGCGCCGCATACCCCGCTTGGCTACAAATGCAACTCCACTTCCGTCGCCCTTAGGCCCTCAGACTTCCTCAGAATTTTCAGCACCTTTCCATCATCTGTGCTATTGCAGCATCTATATGACGCTCGAATCTTCGCAACGATTGACTCCTGCCTTTGAGAGCGATGTTTGCAGGTCAATCTGCTCAGCATCAGAATATTAGTCATGGTACTATACAGAATGGATCGCAGGGTGTCTATGGATCCGCGCGCGATGTATACTTCGGGTCCTGTACAAATCCTCAGGGCATGTTGAACATGATCGCTCGATATCCTAGCTGATGCTGAGACTTGACAGAGATAATCGAACAGCGAGCGAAGTTATGCCGAGATGCGCTATTCGTTTCCGAGCCTGAAGTCGACCGTCTGGAACTCGTCACTAATAAAGGTACCAGGGTCACTGGGACCTGTGAGTGGATCAAGAACAATGGAGGGTATCGATCTTGGAACCAAGGGGAAACACCTCTGCTCTGGGTCACAGGAGGACCGGGAAAAGGCAAAACCATGCTCTCAATCTTTCTGACAGAGGATCTTGAACAAGAACTATCAAAATACAACGCAGGACAACTCGTCTACTATTTCTGCATTCACAAAAAGCGGGACAAGGGCACAGATCTATTGAGAAGCCTTTTGTATCAAATCATAGACAAACGGCCAGAGCTTGCTAAACACGCCTTCACATACCTCGAGACGCCTGAGCGAAGAGCTCATACTTTGTCATCCTTGCCATCCCTTTGGATTATTCTTCAAAATATCATTGCTGACGCGACACTGGGCGATCTGTTTTGCATAGTGGACGGGCTTGATGAGTGTGATGAGGACACGCGAAGATTTCTTATCCCGAGATTCGTCGACCAGCTTGAACCTCAATCCTCACCAAATCAGCCTGAGAGTCTTTTTAGGCTCATCATCGTAAGCCGGGACCTAGAAGGGCTAGAGGGTTGTGAAAAAATCGATCTTGACGAAGACCATGTTAGCAATGATGGTGGTGATATCGAACTTTTTGTTTGCGAAAAAGTGAAAGAGCTTTTCCAGAGGAAGAAATTAGACGTTGTTTTCCAGCCAACAGTACGGGAAGCCCTGATTTCGGGAGCTAATGGCACGTTTCTATGGGTAGGCTTTGTCATCAACGAGCTACTGAAGGTGCGTACATGGAGCCAGGTATGCAAGCAGTTGAAGTCACTACCGGGCGATTTGAGTAACATATATGATCGTATGTTACTTGGAATTCCTTCCGAAAACCGAGAGACATCATCACTGATATTACAATGGGTCTGCCTTGCCCAACGCCCCCTGAAAGTTGCAGAGCTGGCTCAAGCAGTTGGTCTGAAACCAGCTCCCCAAATCATCTGTTCCAAAGGCATCGAACCCTTACCTAGATCTGTTCTTCTTAGGCAGACAACCATGGACGAGATATCCCTGTGTGGTCAAATGCTTAAAGTTGAGCATGAAGAGGTTACACTCGTCCATCAATCAGCAAGGGACTATCATTATTATTATTATTATTATTATTCCATTATAGTCCTGTATCAGCCGTTGGCTATGTAGGACTTTGGCCAAAGGCCGTTCTATCTAACTAGTTACAATTTGGTACGTTGTGCTGTATTGCGTGACTATGGTGCTTCGGCCTTTGTCTAGTTAAGCTAGTG